CTGGGGATCGAGCCTGCAACCCAGGCATGTGTCCTTGTCCAGAATCGGACCTGGGACCCTTCAGTCCACAGGTGGACACTCTCTCCACTGAGCCAAAGCAACTAGGGCTTAATCCACTAAGTTTTGATTGACTTGTTGCACAGTAAAAGCTTACTGATACATAGACTATATACTTTCATTGAATCTTACAAGCTAATCTGATGCTGTATGTAGGTGCTCAATATATATTTGAACCATTGATGGCAGAGTTTTGTAAGGGGATTCTGACTGATTACCTACCTCTTCAGGGAGTAAGTTACATTGAGATGCCACAGCAGTTATGTAAGCTTCAACTACCACTGAAACCTCGGGAAAGCCAAATCCTCGAAAGGCAGTGTTGGATGGCAAGTTTGTTTTGCAAGCCCTACCCCGGCACCGGTAGTTAGGAACATGATATGCATTTTCAGATTTCAGCACAACGAACTCTATCACCTGAATGAAAACAAAACCGAACTTCACATCTATCAAACATTCAAAATCAGTTATCAAATTCTATCTCTAACACAAACCCTTCACAGAATTTTGTCTAATTTGTATGACAAATATCCATGCGAATAAAGTGTAGCACACACAACTCAACAGGTAACCTACGGGGAGGGCATAGTCAGTCCTTATTTACCAACTCAGACTCATCAGGGGTGCATCCACCATTGATATAATATTGAACGTCGGCAGCTTTGATCACACCGTTGTTCATGAATCCAATCTGCAAAGTGATATGACAAAACCATTTTCTCAGCAGTTCTTTACAACCAGATCCTGCTGTACACAAACACATCCGACCGCATGTGTCAGTCCATACCCAGCTTATGAACATGATTTGATGTGACAGTCATCAGAGGAACCCTGAGGATGGTGCCCAGGGCAACCATGGGATCCCAACAGAAAGTTCTGATTGGTTTTGGGTAGCATCCAAATACCCCTTGCAGTCAGCATGGAATTTAGTAGTTGTTTTATGATTGATTGGTTGTCCCTGGACAATATTTTCAGCAGTCTCCTAAAATTTTTCTCTCACTCACTTTGTATTTTCCGAGGAGTGGGTGGCGGCCAGCAGTTATCAGCATGTCATCACCACGTTCTAGAACAAACCGGATTGGGCGGCCAGTCCTGTAGGAAATGACTCTGTTAATACGCTGGGTGCTTCATAAAGGTGTAGAAACATGGAGCTGGCGAAAGGGGACTGGACATAACCTAACTTAGTGGTTTTCCATGGGGGTAGTAACATACCTTAAACA